GGCCGCAGTAAAATTGTCAAGCGTTGACCGGTCCGCAGTGATAAAAAGGTTGGGGACCACTGCTGTAATGGATGAAACTCATAGGAAACTACGATGATCTGTCAAATTTGCAGAAAAGTTGTGGTGTTTGGATAAAATTGCAAGGTCACACAGAATTCACGGGGACTGGTTGAATTTGTGTTAATTGCTGTGATTGCAAAATTGTGAAATTCTGAAAGGTCTGAAATATTAAGTGTAATAAATTAGAGAGTTTGAGACTTATGAAAGCATCTGCTCTCTGAGCTGAATGAACTGGAGCACAATGTTTCCTTTACCATCTAAAAGTCAAACAGAATAATACTGTCTTAGACCTCAGAATCAAAACAAAGCAAACAATGTTGCATTAAGTGTCACATTAATTAGCTCTTGCGTCAGATACTTTGCGGAGCACAGTACCTCTTTTCATTTGGTTTATATCTGCTGTTCTGCTGCTCTGTTTCAGCTTGTCAGCAGCAGTGCCAAATCCCCACTTGGGAGTTGCCCAAGTCACTCCTGTTATGTTCGCTATATTTGGTGCAAGATGTAGCAAGAGAAAAATGCTTCATCAATCACGTTGCAGATGCAGAAACAAAGGAGTAGGGGGGTTCAGAAGCTGAGAAATAAATGAGTGGAAGCTCTGCCAACAACCATTTCCTGGGTGAGATGATGGGAAAACTTCCCTGTACTCTCCGGGGACATCATTTGTGAATACACCGGCGTCCTCCAGAGCCAAAGTTTAAGAACGGAACCCATGCACTTGGTCGGGGCGTTTTGAGCATTTCTAAAGTGAAATCCTCTTCTGCCTCTGTTAACTGCTCCATCAGATAAAGTTTGCCTGCTGAGGCTTAAGAGTGTCAATGAACAGGGAGGGGAGGATCAGTGATAAGTGCAGCTTACCTCCTCAACTGCTCCATGTCGGCGAAATAGAGATTAAACCATTTCAACCTAATAGCACATGTCAGTCAAAAGTCACACTTGAATACTTGAAGACCCTTCTCCAGGCCCCTGACACCACTCGGCCACCTCCCATTTTCTCCTTATTTTCGGGAAAGATTCTGCAACTCAAAAAAATGCAAAATGATGATCAGTACCCATGGAGTGCCATTATGCAAAAGTGATGGGAAAATATCACTGCCTATGGGGGCAGCCAAAGGCAGTCAAAGCTGCCATATCATTCAAAACACACCCCTTTTTATGTCATAAAAATAAACATTAGAAAAATGATGACTTATACACAACTCAGCGTGATAATATTTACTAAAAATGACAGAAATCACTTCTGGGAACAACTTGTTTGATTTGTACTTTTGAATACTTGAAGACCCTTCTCCAGGCCCCTGACACCACTCAGCCACCTCCCATTTTCTCCTTATTTTCTTCCTTATTTTCCTTATTTTGTTTGATTTGTACTTTGAATTTTTAGTTTGGTTCATATCCCATCTACAGTACTAACACTCAGGGGTCAGGATATATGACCTATACTGCAACCAGTCACCAGGGGACGATCGATTTGTGGCGTCACATCGTCCATCTTTATATACAGCCTGTGGTACTAACTGAACAAATTGTCACCATGCCTTCATGGTGACAATTTGTATCACACCAAAATCTGAGATCTGTAATTGTGTGTCAACCATTTCTGTGAGTCCTCAGCTTAGACTCGCTTTCAAGGCTACCATTTGTAATGCATTAAAACACACGCACGCACACACACACACACACACTGAGATCAAAGGCCCCGGGGTCTATTATGGCATAAAACACAATTGTCCGTCTAAACAGCAGCTTTTGTAAACAGGGCTCATTTCTTGGTCTAATGACTGTTGTGGACATTGTGAAATTGCCAACTGTTCCAGGGGAATTACTTGACTGAACCTCACAACTGTGGCTTTGATTTGTTGTTCAACCATCTCAGATGTGAATACACCCTGTGGTCTGTAAATGAGTGCTTGTGTTGTTCCACCAGTGTTCCTTATTTAGACATCACAGTGCTCATTAGGTGGATCAAGCGCATATCAAAGTCAGAACAGAGACGTCAGTGCTTTGGAGAATGCTGGGACAGTCTCAGTCTCTCTATAATGATACATACAGTATGTCTGCCGCCTATTCAACTCAATTATTATTTCACTGTCATTTCTCCAGCGCCTGGTCTGTTGACCTCCCTGCCTTATAACTTCCTTGGCTTTAATACTTTTATTATTGCCCTCTTTTATTTGATGTTTGGACAAAATGAATCCAATAGATTACTTGTGCTTGTTTTTCCACTGTGAAAGGAGTGGATTATAATTGTGTGTCATTTGCTGCATTCTCAGGATCAGCAGAAGGGCTCATAACTCCAATGCTGCTTAAATTCATCAACATTTCATTCCCAAAACAAAAACCAACTAAAACATTTTCTTTTGTAGTCTAACTTGCTTTAGCATACACACAAAACACCTGAATCTTGAAGCATGGCAGGTCACACAAATATTAAAGTAATGGCATCTGTTTCAAGAGCATTTTCTTTTTCTTATTTTTTTTTATCTTTGGCCCAGTTAAGATATTATTTAACTCGCTGTACAAAGTTATAACACCACGTCTGGGCTAGCCTCAGTTTCGTTAACTTCAGTAACCCAATGCAGCCTCCCATTCAGCATTTGTTTCACTGATCTTTGTGAAAAAAATGAGGTGTGCTCCTCAGGATTTCTTTCCATATTCTAGGACAAATCGTTGACCGCTACAGCACTGACTGTTGGAAGTTGATACCTTCACAATTTCAGCAGAGTGAATCAACAATTCATTTTTAAAAGACTGTTCTACAGCTGGATGTGTAGTTATTAGCAGTGTTGGAAATCTCAGAGGGACTTTGCACGGGTGTTTCTTATTTCCAGAGTGCAACCCACAAGTTCAGGTTTTATTGTCCCTCATAAAAAGAACCGTTCACTAAACCTCACCTCCTGTAGTTACTGTTGCTGTGACTATCAAGCTTTCCGTTGTCACACTGCCTTTACACCGTTTAGTCTAATAATAATAGCAGCACATTTGCCACTCAATAATGTACTGTGTATTTTCCACAACTTATTATTGAATGAATCAAACCTTAATCAGGATCGGAAATGGTCAAATAGCCTGTTTAGTTTTATTGTTTGCTATTGTTAGTCTGTCTATTACATTAAAAGACACAGTCAGTTTGGGAGTTAGGGTTCCCATCCTGTGTTTTTATTTCTGGTTGTGGAACTACAATGTTCTTGTGTTTGCATGCGGATCACACATTGTGCCTTTAAAACTCAAAGGAGATAATAGATAAATGACTTGAAAGATGGATATTTTCTGCAGTGCAGCAGTTTTGATGAGAGGTATAAACAAAGAGATAATGTGTCCCCCACAGAGACAGCTCCTCTGATAGGTGGTGATGTGATAGCTCATTTAAAGCTGCCTCTTTCTTATTGTCTTTTGTTTTCTTTTGAAGGAAGATTAAAGAATCTCTTATGCCATTTGATATTTCAGTGGGATGGTAAAACTGTTGAGCAGCATTGTGCAGTGTTTGTGCGGTGGGCATTGGGAATTCATTCAAATATAGCTTATCAAAGTCGATGAGGAACTGAGCCAGCAGACTGTATTCAGCGGTTTGTGGGTTATATCCAGTAACTTCTAGGTTGTCAGTTTGTTTATCTTTTGCTCCATAACTGGGCGTTTATTTCGGTGCATCAGTAGTGTGAGCTCGTCACATCCGGCATGTGGACTTTGTCGTGTTTACGGTGATGTTCATGATATGAATCTGCTCTCTTCCAGGTTTACACCAGATATGGGAAATGCTACACTTTTAATGGCAACAAGACCACATCGAGGAAAACAAAGCAGGGGGGAATGGGAAACGGGCTGGAGATCATGTTGGATATCCAGCAGGATGAGTATCTGCCCATCTGGAGAGAGACAAGTAAGCCTCAGAACTATTTGTACAGTGTAATCCTATCATGTGCTACACCATGAGATCCCTCTGCTGGGGTTTAAATCAAAAATAACCTGCATCCATTTCTCTGGGTTATGTACTGTAAATCATGCATTTTTCAGTTTCATTCCTGCACCTTGAAATAGAGATTTTTAAAAAGGAAATTCCTGAGCAAAATGCATCGCCTCTGATTTGTGCTTGCATTATAGTTGCCATATACCTGACTTATTTTTTAAACATAACTGAAATATACTTTGCATTAAGTGTCAAACTGAGTCCAAGCTGTCAGATGAGGCAGCCATCTGAAATGCTCTGGTATTCCCTTGTAAATTCCTTTGCTATACTCTGTGCTTGTTCTCCGTTTCATCCTGAAGATGAGACGTCCCTGGAGGCCGGCATCCGAGTTCAGATCCACAGTCAGGACGAGCCTCCCTACATCCACCAGCTGGGCTTTGGTGTCTCTCCGGGCTTCCAGACCTTTGTTTCATGTCAGGAGCAGAGGGTAGGTCTTCTTCATCATTGCACAGAGTCCCTGGTTCACCCCCACAGCAGACTGTTCTCCCTGAAAGCATTCACCACTAGTGGCTCAGACTGAGGTCTAATAAATCACTATGTGTTTAGCTGACCTACCTGCCCCAGCCCTGGGGAAACTGCCGCTCCACCAGCAAAGAGAAGTTCCCAGGATATGATACATACAGCATCAGTGCCTGTCGCTTGCTCTGTGAGACCAACGAGGTCCTGCGAGTGTGCAGCTGCAGGATGGTGCACATGCCTGGTAAGATCACCTCCTACCTTGCTCCTAAAAGAGATGTATTTGTGCCCATAGATCACAAATGCACTCAAGTTAGTAATTCATGCTCTTAAATTCATTAATACTGTAACATCAGTTAGTGAAAATGAAAGAACTGTGAGCCACAATAACTTAATGTAGAGTACATGTGGCTGGAACTTATGACAGATGAACACAGATCGTTTTTCATGTTTTGTGGCAAGTTTGAGGTCATGGAATGGGTTACACATAAAGATTTTGGGAAATAAACATTGTGAAATTATAAGTATCCCCCTGTTTTTAAAATCATTTGGTCCAGCAAAACAGGAAAAAAAGCACCAGCCAACCCAGTATTTGCATAATAACAATAACCTGTTGAGCAAAACAAGTCATTACTTCTGACCCACTTGAAAAATTACAGCACAGATATAATTTGGGCGGCCACATGCCTGACCTTTAGTGCTTGATATCTGGAGTGGGAGGCTCTTCAACAGAGCTGACAGCTCTCTGGCCAGTGATAGATCAGATGGCTCTGTGAGTTTTAGATCCTTTTGCTCATCCATTTCCATCTGCTTGGGAACTGCTCTGTTGTGCTCCCGTGGCGTTCATTAATTATTATGATTAATTGTTATAATTGGTCCTGTTTGTTCTCATGTTTAAGCTACTACTGAAGGTTTGCATGTATCAGTGAGGACTGCTTTTGTCTTTATCCTAACACAATAATATATTACCAGGAACTAACAACTAACTTAAAATAAATTTTCATGTGGCACAAAACCATAGTCTGTGTTTGTTTCAAGAATCAAATATAAAGTTTTATCGTTTTTAATCTTTAAGAAGAATGGAAACGAAAAAAGAAAGAGGCCCTGTTTAATGCAAGCAATTGGTGATAATAATATTTGTTATCAGTAAATCAGACTGGGAGATCACTCAAATACAGACTGAAATAAATGCAGAAGATTACTTAGTACACTATACTGCATTTATCTAATAACATAAAAAACCAGACTAGCAGTAACAAACCCCAGATACATCAGAGGTAAACATACGGTTGAATTCTGGTGACTGAGCAGTGGTATGGTCATGCAAGAATCTGACTACTATACAATGCCAATACAGGACTTGGAAGACATGGCACAAACGTATGTATGTTACACAGTTTCTTTGTTCAGCTTGGGTTGTAGAGGAGAATCTGTGTTTTGGGCTTGTGTGTGGCCAGAGAGCATGAAGTCAAAGAGCTGATTCACTAAATCCAAGCTGTTTGATTGATCGTGTCTAACAGTTAGGTATGTTCAAGGCATCTAAGACAGGAAAATTAGACTGTATGCATTTTTCTCCTTCCATACCTAAGTAGTGCCCCTTATACGGTATTTGCAGCTTTACTTAGCATTGTCAGAATTTTAACCCTGCACTGCTGAACTGATCCATTATGGAATTTTGACCAAAAAAGAAAAAGTGTGTATCAGGCTATAAAGCATAAATAATGTGGTTCCCAGATTACACATTTACATATAACTCACACATTTCAAACTTCCATTTGCAGGCTGAAAAGGCCGTCAACAAGGTGGTGTTCTGATCTGTAGAGAGAAGTCAGTGTTAATCATTTGATCTTGACAGGCTGTGAAGTAGGCACACTTCTAATCAGCTTGTGTACTCTGCAGTGCAGTGGCAGTGCCTACCTCACCACAAGACTGTGACTGTGTTACAGTAACCTGTGAGCTCAAGTAGCAAAGATGACTGCTAACTGAAACATTTCATTGCTTTCACTTTACTTATCCTGAGCTTTAAAACCAGCTCACCAGGATATTATTTCTATAGAAGGTTATTTGTCTCACCAATCAGCTGTCTGGAGGAAATGCACCTCTTTCATAAATAGTCTTTATTACAACTATTTTTCAAATGAATGAGACAAGTAAGTAATAGGAAAGGGAAACTTTAGAATCAATATATATTAAGGACTGTTCACAGAGCAGCTGTGTTCAGAAGGCAGCAGGCCCACTTTCCTTTCCATGATGATGTATTACATCAGATATTTATTATATCAGATGTGATAATAGGTCAGTAGTAAATAAAATTTATTTAAACTCGTTCAGAAGTTTGCCAAGAAAGCATGAGGCCAACCTTAAAAGTGAAAACCTTTTTACAGCCTCAGTATCACAACACAGAGCTGTATCAGTTAAACAGTAGAGGATCTGTGCCTACACCATATACAGTATCTGTTCTTCCTCCAGCAGTCCTCTGCAGCCACAGCAGCAGTGTTAGTTAGCTGTCACAGGTTTGCGTTGCTCAGATTTATTTATTGTTATTTGTTAAGACAAATGTGTGATCGCTTTCTTTCTTGTATCATGTACATAATCCAGCAAATGTTTAGCATCTGCCTAACATGCTAGCAAATTGTCCACAGCATGTGCTTACATAATCCCACATTTGTTCACAGTCGGGGTCTTGTAGTTTTTCTGTTTTATTTAGCGTTTCATGTAGTTGTTATTATATCTATACTCTATGTGCATGCTTGTTAGCTGAGAAATCACAAAAATAATTTGATTTCGGCCCCATGTCAAGGGACATGTGATAATATTTGGTGGTGGGTTGCACCAAAATATACACCAAAAGCATTTTATGTTTTTGCACACTCCTGAACTGTGAGGCTGGATTCTTTGCTATTAGGTTGTTTTTGTTTCTGATGTGTGGAAAGCAGCTTCTGCAGCTTGAACTATCTTACAGGCAAAAACACCTGATGATTTCTTCTCTTCTTTGTGTTTGTTGTTCAGTCTGTCATGTTTAAATCTGATTTATTTGCTGCTGCTTAATTCTACCCTAAAAATGCATAATCAGACCATTATATTAAACAAATTCAGAACTGCAAAGATCATCAGACATTTGTTCACTGCATATTAATTAATATTTATTAGCAACAGGGATGGAGACTTCCACAAAACATTAACCAAATCAACATTTCACAAACAAACACAATTCTGCCAGTTAATTGTTCTGCTGATGAATACCTGTCATTAATGGCCGGGGCAATATGTTTGTCTGCGAGGAAGTGACTCATTGATTGGTTTTTAAAGACTTTCTAAATATGAGTGGAGCCAGCATGCTCCATTTCTCAGTGCAATCAAGGACAGGCGTCCAAGATGGCCCAGGTCCTATGGATGGAAGTCATCCTCTCTGTGTCTGCTTTCATTTGATGATGAATGATAAGCTGCGCAGTGTTGTTCACAGCCACGGTTCCTCATTGCAGCAGACACGGGTCACTGATCATTTTGTTTCTGATTGATCAAACTCATTTTCTGTTCTCCTCTCCAGGAGCTGCAGATATCTGCCCGCCCAGTAAAATCAACTGTGTTGACAAAGCACTTGGTAAGAAACAATCTTCCTTCATTTCTTTTCTCATTACAATAAATTCCCCCAAAGGGAAATGGAAACGCAATCAGTAAATATGATAAGGATTTTTTTTTCCTGTAATACAAATACCTGGAGGTAGACTGGATATTTTAAAATGACTTTTCCTCATTGTGATTTAGTCGCTTTTGAGCTTGATGGCTGTGGTGCCTCTATTGTTGAACTGTTAATATTTAACCAACGCTCCACTGCTGCATCCCCCCACCCTCAGTGGTGACGCCGACCTCCCTCTCCTCTAGCAGACATCATGACTGAACAAAGGTGTCTTGGTTTCAAAGGCATTACGGCTGCACTACAAAAAGACCTTTTTTATGGGCATGGTAGACGTATAACTACAATTATCATTTCTCAACCAAATAAGGCAGAAATTTAATTATGTCTCTCTTCACTGAATCTAAGCCCAATTTAAAAATAGAGCTGAATGAAATCTTAGATATATCTTGCATGAATGGGTCATATTCATGTGGGTCATATTCCTGAATCTAATAGTCTGAAGAAATTCACCCTTCATGAAAGGTAATAAATTAAAACATAATTTATATATTTATATTGTAAAGGTTTTGTTCCTACATCAGACAAAGAATATATGCCACTGTGCCCCTGCATACTAATAACCTAATTGTTAGAGTTGTAAAACATATAAATCACCAAAATATAATTACTGCTTCCAGTGCTCCCTCTGCCTGTTTTTGTTTGGACTGAATGCATTTTAAATTTGAAAAGAGAGATTGGAAAAAGCAATTTACTCTTCTGTGTACATAGTGCTGTTTTGTATTTCTTATTCTGTGAGAAATTCAAACCTGTGTGTTAATTGGGTGTAAGGCCAGGTACCATTTCTAGTGCCCTCAGTAACACTTAGTGCACTTCATTTATTTTCTGAGCAAATGCTGTAACCTAACTGAATTACCACTACAATTGTTGTCTATTAAATAATATAGCAATTCCACAACACATCTTTTTGTTAATATATTCAGGATGTTATTGTTTTTTAATACAATGTGATCTGTTTCTAATGTGGCAGAGAAATCTTTAAAGCCTGACATGATCTGACATTTTGATGGCTTTTTTTTCATTATCTTTTAAAGTCTTAAGTCTTTTTTAAATAGCAGTAATGAATTTATGCATCAGCATCACCTGCACAACTGGGAGAAACTTCAGCTACTAATTTACTGGGCATGAAGGTAATATAATTTTATGATATTACCTTCATGCCCAGAAAATTATAGATGCTGAATGCTGCCACACAGTGTTGGCTAGCTGCTCGTTCTTATTGCATACACACACATACATTTTAACCTTCAGAAAACCTGAATCCAAACTATTTTATCTAGTCAGCTATAGCAGCTGGTTGCTCTCTGTCTTTCTCTTTCTTTTGCTCACCATGGCTACTTATTAAAGGAAGGACAGTTGTGTTTATATTGCCATTGTCATAAATGTTAACAGGTAGAGTAATATGTTCCTTAAGTACTGTTGCTATGGTTACCTGTAGTCAAATATACCTTGTGCACTGATTTAAACAGGTGGTTGAACTACTGACTTCATGTGTATTTGAAGTGTCCTGATTGTTCCCTTTTCGCGAACATCTGCCAGCCAGTCTGAAACATTATTTCTGTGGTGAGGGTATGAACTATATTAAAGCTGCACCCATCAGTGTTTTACCTTAACCACGGATCAAATGATTATGTGTAATGGGAAAAGAGTTGTCCATAATTATTTCCCGACTCTGCAGTTCACCTGAGCTCTACATTTTAGCATTTGTGGCCTCGTTATTTTTTTTCCATTTGTGTCAGGCATCTGTTTTCAACAGTTAATGAATCCACTATATATTCCATCTGCCCAGCACCAAACTGCACACAAAGGTTTGCGGGTAAACTAATTGGAATATTTAGCAACTGCACAACCAGATGCTTTTCTCAAGACTTGGTGGAGGCCAAAGGGGAGCCAGAAGAAAGTAAATACTGAACTTACATTGGCGAGGTGGTCTGGAACACAATTCCTGGTGAATGTCAGTGCTGTTCTGTATGTGCTGGATGTCTAAATGGACAACCACTTGGTAACAAATTTGCTATAACAACTCTATAAGATTATAATATATAATGAATTTAAAACACTCCTATTCTTATAGTACACGCTCTGTTCTTTTTGCTTTGTTGCAGGTGGAGATCATTTCCTCCTCTAGATTCTCTGTAGTATACCAACAAATCAGCAGTGAAATCAACTCAACAGTCAATATCTGTTAAACCACCTTCCTATTGTGTTACAGCACAGCTACAGAAGAACAGTGGGGACACCTGTCCATGTGAGACACCCTGTAATCTCACCCGCTATGGTAAAGAGCTCTCAATGGTCAAAATCCCCAGCAAGGGCTCTGCTCGCTATCTCTCCAGGAAATATGACAAGACAGAGGACTACATCAGGTACGCCAGAGAACCTTCAACTACTCTCACTTATGAGCAATAATGTGGTGCTCAGTGAATAGGACTATTAAGTATAACCTCCATCTGGGATCACAAACAGACGGTCATAAATATACTGTATATACATATATATAAAGAACAATTTTATTTTCATACAAGCCGTAATTTCTGTTTTGTCTGGCAATAGGACGGTGATGTCAGGCACCATTACATAAATGCATTTTTTTTTTATTTACTCATATAATAGTAAATATTTATTATGTTGTTATAAGATGTTATTGTATCGTTTATACTATGTTATAAGATTCGAAAGATTCTGGTTGTTTTGTTTCTTTGTTTGTCTGTTTTGCCCTGATATTAGTGAAGCCAGAATTGATTTATACCTGTTATTTAGATCATTTCTGACGAATCAACACCAGCTACTAGTGCTGGCATTCTTCCCAGCCTTTCGGTCTGTCTGTCTGACACTTCACTGAACAAAAATGAAGCATCTTGACAACTACAGTTAACTCCATTAAAGTACAGGGACATGCGAGTTCCCTTATTTGATCAGCCCACAAGTCTTTCAGTCCCCCATCTTGATGGCCTTCCATAAGTTCTTATTTCTGCTGCAAGGATACACAGGACCATCCTTCATCAAACTCTTTTAATGGTCCGGCACAGCAGATTAGAAATCTGTCAGTGATTGGAGACTGCACTTGATCAGACTGATGTGATATTACATCACAAGATTTTCACAGCAAATAACACAACTAGTTAAAGTTTTTATTTTCTAACTTGTTAAAGTAGTGGATCTTAACTGCAGTGGGTGTTAACTGGAGGTTTGACAAGGATTAACAAGAGAACATGAAGTACTTTGTTTATTCAGAAAAAATTCCCCAGTACTTTTACTGCATTTCTCTTTTGACCTTTATCTTGAATAAGAACATAGTCAGGGAGAGGAGGAGAGTCTGATGTCCTTCAGCAATAAATTGTGTATCATCTTTTCCTGTCAGTTACATTTGAGATGAAAATCCTCATACAGTGGGTAGAAATATAGTTTCATGTGATACGTTTACATAATTCACCCTTTGTCAAAAACATTTAGAGGGATTAAATCATTTCTATGAAACAGAACATAATGAATTTACAAACAGAATATCAATAAATGTAAATGATTCAGTTTACAGAATGCACTGCTGCCATTAGAGATGGTTTATATGCAGTGAAGAAGATTCGCACACTGTCACTTGACTGATGTGAACACAGTCTAGATACAGAATAATGCAAGTTTGCAGAACAAAGCCAGCTGAGCCTCCGTTATCAGAAGCAGACGTTGCTTTAGACGACCGCTCAGAGGAAAACATGTCTGATTTCTCAGAAAACATACAGTATCTCCTCATTTCCTCTCTCCTCAAATCTTTTTCTTGCATCTCTCCATACATATTCAGTGGGGAAAACGATGCAAAACATGAATGAAATGAGATGTTCCCAGTATGGGATGTTATTGTCCTTATGACCAGAATTTATCCCTGAAAAATATGTTCCCAAAGTAATGACCTTTTCCCATAAGTTTGGCTTTGATATTTATGACCACCACAGGATAAATCATATTGTTTTAAGTGACCCTGTGACCTTTCTAGTGCCACTATCATAGAAAAAAATCTACATAAAGAGTTAAAATAAAAATAAAATCTTGTAAATAGATTGTCATGAAATTAACAGAATAGAAAAACGATCCCCAGAGGATAAACACTTCTACACACTCTATACACAAAATGTCAATTTTGCCAACACAATATTTCATAATATAAATTACCAGACAGATTTGTGGATAAAGTTGTCTCTATTTAAGAATCTGCACGGCAGTTCATGTAGCACCACCCTCACGACAAGCTGCTACAAAGACTCTGAGCAAAACACAATCGCTGAAATGTTTAGCATATAAGTTTAGTCTTTACTTTTGAAATACTTAACATAATAATCTTTAAGTGCAACTAACTCACTGAGCAGCCATCTACTCAGTGTAATTAGTATAAATAATCTACTGAGAAAGATCATGAACTGCAGCTAAAAGCTCTAGACAAAGCTAGCTAAGTTGTGTTTAGATTATTTTGTTGTATGTTATATATTTATATTGTTTTTCTGCCCAGCCTATTGTAATCTGTCATGAATATCGCAGCTTCTACCACTAGCGGGGCTTTAACTTCGAATCCTGTTTGACAAAATGTTTGCTAATATTGTAATTATAATGCAGCCTGCTTATACTGTGATTCCTCTCAGTGCCTAATCATCAGGGACATGGCAGAATAAAAACACGCCTAAACCAAAGAGCTCATAACGCCTCACAGCACTTAATATTAGCAGACTTTCTAAATCCAAAGAGATCAGAGAGATGATGGTGACTGAGCATGCTGTCAGTGCTCATTCTGCTCATCTCCGTTAAAACCTGAAACACCTCATTAGCTCACAATTGTTCATTAGATCTGTTTCAAGCCTGACAGTCCCATTATGTAGCTTAAAGTGAGTTGGTAAGGTATTTTGTTAAATGATATTAGATTTGTTGTGGAAAAAAATAGACCAAATGTGTTCTGCTTTGTTTGCTATGCCATTCACGCTCTTGTTTTTCCAGAGACAACTTTTTGGTCCTAGATATCTTCTTTGAAGCGCTGAACTATGAAACAATTGAGCAAAAGAAAGCCTACGACGTTGCAGGTTTATTAGGTGAGTTTTCTGCCACATTTTTCTCTGTTTTCTGAATATCAACTAGTCTTGCTGGTGCAGAGTGAAAGATGTTCGAGAAAGAGCACTTACTTTTCATTGCCATTAGCAGCAGACAAGTACAGCTCTGACATTGTGTCCATTGTGCTCCTCCTTAAGTACTCTCTACTTTTCAGGTGACATTGGCGGACAGATGGGCTTATTCATTGGAGCCAGCATCCTGACAGTCTTAGAAATACTGGATTATATCTATGAGGTAGTGCCTGTGCCAGCCCACACACATTAACCCATAACAATATGAAATCAGTCGTAGCTACAGTAGTAATAATTAACACCCAGCATCATGCTGGATTTCAGAAAGATCAACAATCAGTATCTACAAAACAGTGTTTCATCAGTGTTTTTAGTTTTAGCCAACAGTGAATGTCACTGCAGGTTTGTACGTATCAATGTTCTTTCCACCCATAATCATCAGAAAATCTAAGGACTGGTGGTGCAAATGTCATCATTTATACTGCATGTGAGTTTTATTTGATTTCCAGGCTAGAGAATCTAATATCCGCTCAGGTCTGTGCTTAGGACATGCCACTGACGCTGATCATGAAATGATCTCCCACCTCAGCTGTATTCTCTCTAAGCCCTCTAGGCAGCTACCTGCAGACTGCCAAACATGCATGAATAAAGCACAACCGGAGAGAGGAACTCTAATGTCTCTGCTGTGTCTCTTGTCTCCCTCCCTCATCTCTGCTCACCCTCCCTGCTGCTGTGCTTTGTGTGAAACCAGATGATCAAGCATCGGCTACAGCGTCTGCTGAGGCCGCAGAAAGAGGAGAGCAAGGCCAAGCAGCAGACCAGCACTGTTGCAACCGTGGGCCTAGAGGAAATGAAAGCAAAGGTAGGGCACATACTGTACCATAACAAA